GTCTCATCCCATTCGTCGGTATTTGTGATATCACAAATCCCAGAAAATATGCGTTGTAGTCCCAACAAGTCGTTCGTTGTAGTTTTTGAAAATTGATTTCTGTTTTCTAAAATATCTCCTGTTGAAGTGGACTTTGAGCTTTGTAACTTTGCAGATCTTTTTATGCTCAAACAGCAACATTACAGACTAACTAAAGTTGAAAAAGTGAAAAAGCATAATAGGACCCCTTTAACGCATGTATGAACCATGTATAATACTTACAGTGTAACTACAGTGCTGATAATAACAAATCATTATGATTTATGATGATTGAATATTTTATCATTTTAATAATTTAAAAATTATTAGTAAATTATTAAACATGAATATTTGAAGTATTATTTTAATAAAATATATTTACTATATTTACCATGTCTGTCATTAAAAATTAAGATTCTTAGACTATTTGAACTATTTTAGTTGATATTATCATAGAGTACTAAAAAACAACAACAAACAAACTAATAACTACAGTGTTTTTGAAAGTGCACTGCAGTTAATTTCTCACCTAATAGCTGTGTTTCCCTGCAGTAAGTACGTAACAGAAGAAGGGCAGCGTATTGTTGGTGGTGTGCTGATTGGGACCGGATTGTGGATTGCTGTGACTTTCGTTATGAGGAACGTCCTCAAGTACTTGCTGTCCTGGCACAGCTGGATGTTCAATCGCCATGGATCTTTGTCCTTAAAAACAAAGCTTTGGTTGGTGAGTGTGGCCCTGATGGGGAATTGATCACTTAAAGTAATAATTCACCCAAACATTATGCCATATTATACAACTATTGGATTTTTGTAGTCCATATGACCCAGAGTTTAAATTTTTAGGTGCACTATACTTTAAACACTCCCAGTGCTGTAAATATTTCCCTACATCATATTCAGAGAGAGTCCAAAGTCTAATAAGTTTGTTTTATAACACAATTTCAGCACTGTTCTGGTCATTGCATGTTTCTTTTGAAGTTATCTCTGCGTCATTGTGTCAGTTTTTGATATACAGCTGTTCACTAGAACTTGTCTGGTTGTATAATTGGAAGATTCATGCTTGTCTCATGTTTGACTCTTGACCCAATTTTAACACTGTCCACACAGATGTTGGTGAAGGTATTTTCGGGGCCAAAGCCAATGCTGTACAGCTTCCAGAATTCAATACCACGGTTACCAGTGCCTCCTATAAAAGACACTGTTAGAAGAGTAAGTCAAGCATTTTCATTGCTTTTTAAAATAATCAAATTTATTAATAGGTCAAATATGACTGAATTTTCAATGCACTTCCCTTTTTTTAATTACGCTCACTTCACATCTATATATATATTATTATTATTATTATTTATTTATTTATTTTTTTTTTTTCAAGTATCTTGAGTCAGTTCACCCTCTGATGGACGATGAACAGTACAAGCGTATGGAGGGGTTGGCAAAGGACTTTGAGAAGAACTTGGGCCCCAAACTGCAATGGTACCTGAAGCTCAAATCCTGGTGGGCCTCCAATTATGTAAGTTCGCTCTTTTCTCTACTATTCAAAATGACTTTCAACAACTTTTCCTGAGGGATTTGTTTTTAAATAATGTGCAGTCTTATCATATCTCATCATAAAAATGCCTCAGAACCTTTTTCAAGTTTGTCTTTCTTTCAAAATAGCATGAAGCTTCTTAAATAATGAACCTTAAGTTACTTTTATTTGAGATTTGTGTCATACCTTGGATTATGGATATTTAACTTTGTTCTGCTATCATCCTCTTAGGTCAGCGACTGGTGGGAGGAGTATATTTACCTCAGAGGTCGAGGACCAATCATGGTCAACAGCAACTACTATGCAATGGTAAGACTGATATGCAATGGCTAATCTGGATTTTGTTCAAAAGAAAGTCAAATTTAAAAAAAAAAAATTAAAGATGGTGAAATTTAAAAAGTAATCCATCAAAATATGAAATTAACTAATTTACATTAGGCTTTGCTCAAATATATTTTTTTATAAACCTTCACCTTGGTCATGACACCAATTTGTGTGGTGTAGAAATTAACAAATTTACATTAAGTTTTACTTGTAGCACAAACTATTTTTTATAAATCTAGCATCCGGGTCACGGCACCAATTTTTGTGTTGTAGAAATTAACACATTTACATTAAGTTTTGCTTGTAGCACAAATTTACCATCTGGATCACAACACCAATTTGTGTGGTGTAGAAATTAACACATTTATAGTAAGTTTTGCTTGTAGCACAAACTATTTTTATAAATCTAAAATACGGGTCATGGCACCAATTTTTGTGGTGTAGAAATGAACAAATTCATATTAAGTTTTGCTTGTAGCACAAACTATTTTTATAAATCTACCATACGGGTCATGGCACCAATTTTTGTGGTGTAGAAATGAACAAATTCATATTAAGTTTTGCTTGTAGCACAAACTATTTTTATAAATCTAAAATACGGGTCATGGCACCAATTTTTGTGGTGTAGAAATGAACAAATTCATATTAAGTTTTGCTTGTAGCACAAACTATTTTTATAAATCTACCATCCAGGTCACAGCACTAGTTTTTGTAGTGAAGAAATGAACAAATAACTATTTTTTATAAATCTAACATCCGGGTCATGGCACCAATTTCTGTAGTGTAGAAATGAACAAATTCATATTAAGTTTTGCTTGTAGCACAAACTATTTTTATAAATCTACCATCCAGGTCACAGCACTAGTTTTTGTAGTGAAGAAATGAACAAATTTACATTAGGTTTTGCTTGTAGAGCAAACAATTTTTATAAATCTAGCACAAACTATTGTTAGAAATCTACCAACTGGGTTATGGCAGCAGTTTTTGGAAAGTTGCTTTAACTCATTTAACTCCAGGTTGTTCGTATAATAAGTTCATAGCACTGTTCAATGGCAACATCTCAGGAGAGTCACTTTCTCTGTGTTTATCAGGACTTCCTCTATGTGATCCCCACTACACGTCAAGCCGCCCGTGCTGGTAATTCCATCCACGCCATCATGATGTACAGAAGAAAACTGGACAGAGCGCAGATTAAACCAGTGAGTCTAGTTTACTCAGTAGTGTCTGTAACACAAACATTCATCAATATTGCCTAAATTGAATGCAATATTTTTTTACCTTCATTCTATACAAGAATAATGGATTTGTTTCAAGATTCTAAAACAACAACAAAAACCTTAATAGTAGCCAATATAACAATGATAGCTTCCTGTGAGACCAAAAAACTTTCAAACCTTATTCACACGGGTGTGATTGACGTTAAATGAAATTACTTCTATATGTGCAGCATCATGCAAAATATCTCCTTGTGTGTTACACAAGATAATGTCATAGAGCAGGGATCCTCAAATCTGGCCCACGAAATCCACGTTCCTGCAGTGTTTAGCTCTAACCCTTATCAAACACACCTGAGCATGCTAATCAATGTCTTCAGGATCATTAGAAAATGACACAAATGTGAGTAAATGGTAATGAAATTTACTTTTGGGTGAACTATTCTCTTAAGTGTAATTATTATTTTTTCATAGGTCAGGGTCATGTATGGGTCAGTGGTGGTGAACTACTACTCAGAACTTCAGATGAAACATTAACTTTTATTATCACAGAGTATTTCACTTCATAGAAGCAAATGAAGAGGCATGTGTTAGTTGTTTAGATTCTAGCTTTTAATTACAGATACATTTTATACAAAATGTTTATATTATATGACCATGTATAGTAATGTTTACTTATATAACAAATGATATATTATAAAATATATAATACATTATATTTATGTATAAACATACACTACCATTCAAATGTTTTGGAGTCAGTAATTTTGTTTCTAAATAATTCATATTTTTATTCAGCAAGGCTGCATTAAATTGATCAAAAGTGACAGTAAAGACATTTATAATGTTACAAAAGATTTTTATTTCAAATAATTGTTTTTTTGAACTTTCTATTCATCAGAATCCTAAAAAAAGTGTCACAGTTTACACAAAAAAGTCTGAAGCAGCAGCACAACTGTTTTCAACATTGATAATGATAACAAATGTTTCTTGAGCAGCAAATCAGCATATTAGAATGATTTCTGAAGGATCATGTGACACTGAACACTGGAGTAATGATGCTGAAAATTCAGATTTACATCACAGAAATAAATTACATTTTACCATATATTACAATAGAAAACAGTTATTTTATTACTGTTTTTACTATATTTTTGATCAAATAAATGCAGCCTTGGTGAGCATAAGAGACTTAAAACGAGAGGTGAAGAGACCAAAAATATATACAGTATCTTACTGATCCCAAACTTTTGAATAGTTTGTGTGTGTGTGTGTGTGTGTGTGTGTGTGTGTTCAGGTCTCTTCTACATCATATCTAATGTGTTTTAGTGCATGTTTGTGTCTGTTTTTTGTTTGATTTTTTATTTTATCCGTACTGTATAATGACCAAATCAGCAGACACATGTTGAAAAAGGATGTTTGTCGTGTGATACCATGTCTCTCTTTGTCTCTCTTTAACCCCCCAAACTCTGTGTGCATGACTGTGAAAGCTTTCCCCTCATAAACGATCTTTGTTTTGTTTCTCGCTCCCGGACGGGTCTGCGTTTGCTATGTGCGCTCACTCACCACATGCACAGTTATACTTGCTGGAGAACCGAGTGCCGCTGTGCTCGGCGCAGTGGGAGCGGATGTTTAACACGTCCCGCATTCCCGGGCTGGAGACAGGTAAGAGCAGGGGCTTGTCCGTCCCGACCCGCACCCCTTCATCAGCTCCAGCAGCAGCCGCCTCAGCCTCAGCCTCAGGACAACAGCACAGCAGACAGGAGAACAGTAGAGCTTATTGACTTACAGTGGTCGACTGATGAGGGCTTTTTACTGGCTGATTTCTAGAGAGCACGGTGGACGGTGATGCAATTTAATGATAGCAGCTGAGACCAAATCTCTCTTAGACAGATCTCGGTCATGGCTGTTAACCAATATCTATAATAGTGATACATCAATATATCAGCCACAATTATAGAAATAGGTAAATAGTTGAAAAAAACAATCCTGATAATTAATTATGTATTATTATAAAATGTATTAATTATTTATTATGTTATTATGTTATTATTATTATTATTATTATTACTATTTTGTAATTTGTTATTATATTAATCACATAATAATATTTTATTATATTTATAATACAATTATTTAATTGTATGATTTCATAGAATTTATGTATAATTTTAAATAATATCATTAATATAATCTCTCTCTCTCTCTCTCTCTCTCTCTAATAATACCAATAATAGTGATACACCAATATATTGGCCTGTTAGAGAAATAGATAAATAGTTAAAAATAATAATATAGTTAAAAAATTAAAGACATAATAATGCATTATAATTATCATCATAATAATAATACATTTTTATATTATTAATATGATTATTATTATTTGTTATGTGTATTATTTATAATTTATTTTGTATAAATATTTTTTTTATATATATTATTTCACATAATTAGTAATCACATAATACATTTGAATCACTTTTAACTGTGGACTTGTGTGATATTAATCACATAATACATTTTTATATAATTGTATAATTTCATATACATATATAAATGTATTTATGTATATATGTGATTATTATTATTATTATTTTAATCCCCCTCATGCCATTTACAACCTGTATGGTTTTCTTTATTTGGATTTTGGCACAGTTTATTTCTATATAGTTTTTATCATATTACATTATTTTGATCATATGATAAGTAATAATTTATAATTATTATTTTATTTATGAATATTAAATATTTTCTATATATTGGATATATTTATTTGTAAAATAATTCAGGTAATATCTTTGAAGATGACTAGCTTAATATAATATAAAATAATTTGTATTTTGTAAAATAACTGTTGCCTATATTTCTGTAATTTTTTCAATGTTTCATTTGAAATCTTTAAATTGAGCTGTATTTTTTTTCTCTCTGTTGTTCATCAGTCACCCTACACTCTATGATTGAATTTGTCTGAAACATTGGAAAACGCACATCAGACGACCACTATCAAATAATCAAATATCAAAAATATCATATATTGTATCTGCCTGACTGTTATATCGGTCAGCAGTTTTCTGTTGGTTTTAGAAGATATTAATGTAGGCTGTTTTGTCATTTGGCAGCTGTGCTGTTATCCGGCGGCTGGTCACCGTGTTGAATCCATCTCTCCTGATGATCCTTCACTCCTTCCACTTCCAGTTTTCCATTACTCTGTTTCCCTCTACATAGTGGTATTTTGGGTTTCTTCCTTGTTTTTCCTGTTAGTGTTTGACCTTCCGTTCTGCTTCACAGCTCATGGTTTTGAACACTATCCCCATGTGCTCATCTCAGTACGAGCGTATGTTCAACACCAGTCGAGTTCCCGGTGTAGAAACAGGTAGAGCTTCCCTCTCGCCTGCTTCACGCGCCTTCATTTCGCAAGCTAGTGATTGCTGTGGGCCTAAAATGCATGAGGGTTTGTGATTTGGATTTGCGCTCTATGTAGCTGACGTTTCTGGAGGAAGCAGATGGCGAGGACTTAGTTTTGTGTGCTTAGCTTGTGCTCAACTGTTTCATAACTTGATAACATATTTGTGTGATTTAATGATTAACCTGTTATCTGAAACAGATGAATGAGGAACAGGAAATAACATGTTTTTACACCCGTCTGGCCGTATATAGTGGTGCCATTCAAAGATGTCTGTTATTTTTATTGCTACTAACTTATAACATACGGTTTTAAGGTTTTAAACGCTGAATTAATTCCAGTTTAGTAACTAATACATATACTTTACTTAATGACTGAATCTACAGCATTACTATTTAGAAAAATGTATGTGATATGATAATTTATTAATAATAATAATGAGCTATCACAGCAAAGTGGAAATATGTGGTATTTAGTTTCTAATTCTTACAAAATTATAGTAAAATAAATGATTACTGAATTAAAATATAGATAAAAATAATTTAGAATAGCTTAACTAATTTAGAGTGCATGTATACTATTAATGCAGAAAACCAAAAACAATAAAATAATAATAATAATAAATACTTATTATTATATAATGTTGTACTAGAACTAATCAAATTAATATTAATAATAATAATAACAACTTTAGAGTGCAGGCATTCTATTAATGCAAAAAAACATAATAATAATGATAATTCTAGAAATGATGATGATGTTGATTAATTTTTAACTAGAATTTAAAGTGCATGTATACTATTAATCGAGAAAAACAAAAACATTTACATTTAGTCATTTTGCAGACGCTTTTATCCAAAGCGACTTACAATTTGGGGATACATAAAGCGATTCTTCTTAAAGAGGCAAACAGATACAGGAAGTGCTTGTAATACCAAGTTTCTAGACATTGTTCAAATAAGTACAAGCTAGAAAGAGAAGGAATAAATGAAGAGAGATAATTTTTATTATTTTTTTTTTTTATAATGATGATGATGAAGTCAAGTAGCTTCGAAAGAGATGAGTTTTCAGCTGTCGCTTGAAAATTGTCAAGGATTCAGCATTCCGGATAGGGGTGGGAAGATCATTCCACCAGCCAGGAATGGTGAACGAGAATGTTCTGGAAAGTGATTTTGAGCCTCTCTGTGATGGTACCACGAGGCGTCACTCACTAGACTTCTGGAGGGGATGTAGATTCGTAGTAGTGAGTGGAAGTAGGCTTGATGGAAGTCCAGCCAGAAGAGCATTGCAGTAGTCCAGCCTAGAGATCCTAGAAATGTGGACAAGAAGTTGTGCAGCATGCTCCGTTAGAAAGGGCCTGATCTTTCTGATGTTGTGCATGTTGTGCATGCAAGATC